TTTCCCCCAGTGTCAGCACTGATACTTGGGCAAGGAGGAGCGTACTGAGGAAAATAGGCTGCTGCACAGTACGTGGGGAAGGGAAAGTCCGTCAAGATACTAACCACACTTGCTGAGTGGTTATTTGCACAGCAGGGGAGCACAGCTGCATAAAAAAAGGAGGAACTGGGGACATTTACAGAATAACAATAGCAGAGTTGGAAGAAACCTTAGTGGTCTTCTAGTCCAACCCTCTGCTCAGCCAGGAAATCTCAAGTACTGAGTTCTGGATTTTAAGTTTGGAAAAACTGACAAATTGCATTTGAACACCGGGAGACTGTTCCTATGGAAGGTGTGTGCAGGGAGAGGCAGGGGTGTTGTTCTGCTACTTCAGAACAAGCTACGTCCAACTCAAAGGCTAGGAAATGTATAATCCATCACCTTGGAGGGTATAAATGTACCTAAACGCCTACATAACCATCTCTTTTGCAGCTAGCATTAAAACAAATATTAAGCTACAACAATCCTCTGTGCGGCCTGTGTTAGGGAATAGTGTCACCTGCAGATGGTTTTTCAAGTTATCCCTTTAATAGCCTTATAGAAATTACCTGGCACAGAACAAACTGCTCTTCTCGCTTTGGTCCAAGGGTATCGTTGCTAACTGATCGAGCAAGTAGCAGATCAATAAGGTTTTAATCGGAGGCGGGAAAGCAGCAGAGATTTTAACTTAGAAGGGATTTTGTTAGCATCCACTTTAATTATAACTTCCAAGCTGCTTATTTTAGCTGGCTATAATTAATCAGTTATGCAATTGTACTTAAAGCACGCTAACAGGGGAAACGCCACGATCAAAGAATTATGGCAAAAGGAAAGAATAAACTAGCGGGAGCACTTTTATAACTGAAAGGCTCAAGCCTGCTTAATCCAAAGGGAAAATGAAACGGCGTGAGCTGCTTTGGACAGCTAATCAATATGCGTAGGCAGGACTAATGCTTCCCATCTTCAAAATACCAGGAGCTTAAAGGAGAGACAAATCTGTGCACAGCACTGGTAGAAGTCAGGAGGGGGCAACCTGCTCCTACAGGGGACTATGTTCCTTGGGGCGTAATCGGTGGGAGGAGTCATGCACACGCCTTACCCTTCTTTGCTCCCGTCAGCTAATAAGCCATCAGGGATTTCCACAAAAAGACTCTGATTGGATAGCACTGCATCCCAAGAGGAGACCTTTACTTCCGTAACTTTGTACTGGAAGTGGACAATATGTGGTTTCCCATCATGCACTGGAAGATCTTGGTTAACAGTGAGCTTCTCATCCTTTAAGAAAGGGTGAAAAAACAATTTTTCAAGGGTTAGAACAAGCGAAGAGCCGTAAATTCCCCGATTCCTCATTGCTATGGGAACCAACACCAACCCCTGGTCCTGCTTTTTAAAGGACAATTATAAAGCTTCAGCTCACTGTACTCGATGACCAAACCAAGTACATTTAATAAATCAAAAGTCTTTTATCTCCTGGGCAAACTCCAAGAGGTACCTCCAATTCATTCAAAGAAATGAACAAACTTCACACATCAACAATGCTTACGCCAGCAGAAATGGTCTTAGAACAACTAGCCTTGGCAGCCACAGAATTGTGTCGATACATTACAAGCACAGTCCCTTGATAGCTGCTCCGTCTTGCACTTTATGCAAGACAGGAACGGGGGGACAAAATGTAAAGCAGCTTTAGAAAAATAAGGGGGAAAACTTGACCTTTGCATATTTTTTATTTTACCGATCCAGAATACTACCTCACTTATAAGAATCCAGAATATCATCCATCTCTCGGCCTCATAGCAATGTTCCTTTTGAGGGGATAGCCAAATCTTGCGGATGTAACAGCTCATTGATGCTTCAGGATCAGAAGAGAGACCCTTCTCCTTGCTAACATAAGAGGAAACCTCTCTTAATACCTATGAAGTTGTCCCTACGTAGTTCTACACTGTTCAGAAATTTCATTTCTGGACGGTGTAGAACCGTCAGGCAAAACAAGAAACAACAGGTGGAAACTAATCAAGGAGAGAAGCAACGTGGAACTAAGGAGAAATTTCCTGAGTAAGAACAATCAGTGGAACAACTTGCCTCCAGAAGTTGTAAATGCTCCGAGACTGGAAATTTTTAAGAAGATGTTAGATAACCATTTGTCTGAAGTGGTGTAGGGTTTTCTGCCTAGGCAGGGGGTTGGACCAGAAGACCTCCAAGGTCCCTTCCAACTCTGTTATTCTACTCTACTCGGTTCTTCCCTTGCCTCATTATTTTTGCTTCCCAGTTAGAACGATATTTAGGAGCCTTTGATTCAGTATTCGCTTTGTAAGCGCTATGGAAACAGAGCTCCAGGGAGAAGGAGCAGTTGGATGATTACCGAAGAACAACCCTAAGGGGAAAATTGGAGCGCATACTTGTTTTCTTCGTTTCGTAAACTCAACATCTTACAAGCGACTGACCTGATGCAGAGCACCCCTTTCATTATATTTTTCTCACATGTTGGGTTCTTTAAAAAAAAAAAAAAAATGTAACAAAGCAATTAACACCGAGGTGCCAGAAAAAGTACCAGAAGTCACTTATTTTAAAACCATCTCCAAGGCAACCAGCCCCCAAAATAGTGAGCTTCCAGAATGCTGGGGACTGGAGGTGGGGAGGACAACACAGAAATGAGACATATGCAGAGCGTTCTTGGGGAGTTCCTGGCTGGCTTGTCGTCTCACAGCAAAAAGCCCCGGGAGAAGCGGAATTAGGCTCACCTTATATATCAAAGCTGAAAGAGAAGGATCCCTGCCAACCCCTCGCCCACCGGGGATCTTCGACAGTGGGTGAGGGGCATCAGGAGCACCACAGAGGCCCTGGAACAATGTGCCTGCAGCACGGTACTTGCGGGCAGTTACTCAAAGGTAAGATACTCCTGGAAGAGAAAGAGAGCACAAAGGTGAGAGCCACAAACCCACCAGCAAGATTCCAACGGAACTCGGGAGCGCGAACATCCTTGTGGGTTAGCCATGGTATCAAGCTCAAGACAGCCTTGCAGGAGATAATCTGGGCAGTTCAATTTTTCCACTAAATCATAAGGACGTGATTCCACCATTAACATTTCTTTTAAACAAATAGCAAGAGCAACAAGGGGTTATGTATTTCTCAGAAGCAAGCTAAGCTGTTGCCATGTTCCACCTTGCAATATCTTCTTTCTAATACTTAGGCAATGTGCCACCCACGTTATCTTATCCGCTAAGCGAAGAGCGTTCCCTGCTTTGTGTCCTTACACTGCAGTGTTTCTCAACCTTCTGGCCACCTTTAAGATGGGCGGGCTTCAATTCTCAGAATTCCCCTGGGAATTCTGGGAGTTGAAGTCCACCCACCTTAAAAGTGGCCAAGGTTGGGAAATAACTGCTCTACTGCATTCATCTCATGCTTTTGATTGTCATATTTTAATTACAGCCTTGT